AATTTAAAAAAGACGTACTACAAATAACTATAATATTCTGAAGTGATTCATCCGTGATATGTTTTCTGCATCAAAACGATAAAGAATTGTAATTTGTTGAATCTTCAATATGGCAAAGCTAACAACTAAAATTTATTGTTTTAATAGACACAGTAACGATGATATCAATTATAATAAATTTTTTAATAAAACCACTATAACTTGAATTTATATTAAAAATTCATTAAAATTAAAATTTATCATAATGAATTCTACTCCTATTTGAAATTAATTAATTTAAATTTATATTAAAAATCTAATATAACTTTTAACTAATTACATAATTGGTAAAACATTTGCAAATATTTTAACCACCTTTATATTCTGTTTTTGGTCTTCACTTTTCGAGAATTGAAGTTCTTTTTGCAAATTATCAAGCAAAAATGTATTAACATCGGTCTAGAAATGTTTTATGATTATTTGATCTGCTGTATCATTCATTTTAGATCTAAAAATTTCTCTAATATTTTCAAAACAATTTCTTGAACCGAAAGTGATCAGTGATATTTCTTGAAAGAGCTGGTTCATAGACTCAACTTTGAGTCGGGGCTAAAAGATACCGAGCCTCTAAATGATACATGTTGTTACTAGAATCAAGTCCTTAACAATCCCGTGTGCCGAACTTAGAGCAGCTAATGACTTGTCCTAGTAATAACGAGAATCACTAAGAGTAATTATGGAACACGTTTTATGGAACAGAAAAGAAACATCGATGATAAAATGATTGTGAATAGATGTCGATAATAATAATAATAATAATTTAAGGGATCGTTGATCAATAACTGCAGGCGAGTAAGTAATGCTAAGAGAATTTCTAAGAAAAAGAAATTTATGTACACGATAAGTAAATCACTAGTTCTATTTTCGACGTTAACTGTTACACAATGTGAAAGAAAGTCTACTTACGTAGCCAGATTTCCTAACGTCGTAGCCACACTGTTTATTTTTAATGATTTCCTGGAAAAAAGGACAAGAAACATTTCAAGATAAAAAAAGATAATTTAACACGTAAAAATTTAAATTATAATATAAACTCATTTAATCTGTTTGTTTTGAGAGTATTGTATGACTAACTTTTTATTTCAAAACATAAATAGTTTTTTTTTATTAAACGGGAATAACGAAAGTTTACATGCAGACTTCACTGATCACATTCAGATTTGAGTTAAAAGATTGAATACTTTAGTTTCACTGAAAAAGCTGTTGCCACTCTCAAAGCAAGCTATATTTATAATGAGTCCTATTAGCACAATTACATTTGGTTTTCGTTTACAACAGCTAAAAGGCACACCACATGCTTCTCTCGAGCCAATGTCGCTCGACGAACAATTGAAATAATTGTTACGATCCCAGTCTTTAGGCCCCTCGATGCCACAACACTGCAACTGTAACACAAAAAATACCTCTAACAAACCTTGTCACTGATAATCAGAATTAAAAGACATGTTATTCTACTTCAAAATTAAAATTTAACATTTCGATTTTACGAAATTAAATTTGATATTTGAACGGCAAAGTTCGAAAATGGAGTTCAATCTCAATGAAGAACAAATATAATCGAGCTGTACGCTATTATGCATACCCAATCCTCCTGAATCCAATCGATGAGATTCTGCTGATCGGGATCTTCTCTGTAGTGAATGATAAACGCTTGGAAACCACCAGCGGCTTGCGATTTTATCTATCAATGGAATCAAAGTAGCATTTGTGGCTGTTATTAGTGACAAGTATCGACAAGCAATTATTGAGAGTTATTGACGATTTACGTTGTATGTTCACTGAGCAAGTGGAAATAATTTATTTATCGAATTTGTATCTGCATATATTTTGAACTCGTATAACGGAAATAAATTAATGCTTTTTAGAACATTAACAAAAGTAACACAAAAAACACTTTTAATAATACTTTGATCGCATATGCATTGTGTACACAACAACTAAGAGAACGGTAAACACACAACACTGGTTTTGTATTTAATTTGATTAAAAAAATTTGATTGAACAAAAGACATAGGAACGACATCAAAATTTTGTTTTTTTCAAAAGCTTTATGAAATTAAAATGTAAGAGTCATATAAAAAATCAATAGAAAATTTATACGTACATTTTACGTAAGTGTTACACAACGAAATAAATATCATGCTGTGAAG